CCACGGGCTGGCGCGAGGGGGAGCCACTGAGGGGGGAGACCACTGGATGCGGGGGGGGGGGCTGCTCAAGGGGATGAAGACAGGCTGCAGGGGGTCAGCTGTAGGGGGGAGTAGCACATGGAGACTGGTTCCTTCATGCTGCAGGCTGGGGGCGGGACCCAGTTAACCATTCTTTACTTCCCATTCCCTTGTTGCAAACTGGGCTCCAGAATGACAGCCCTGCTGTCTGACTCTGGAACAGTACAGGAAGCAGGCACTGTAATTCAGTTATCTCCTCCTTATGGGGAAAGCTGGACCACAAGTGGCAGCTGTTGGAAGGGTAGAGGAATAGAAAACAAATTTGAAATACCTGGTTTTGGCAAATTGCTAAATTCTATGGCATCTTTGAATATTCCATGACCACATATTTGCAAGTCTAGAGGATCCTGACAGATGTGTATGTTTTATGCTGTCTGCGGGTTCAAGCAGGCATTGGCCTGCTACCTGTTTACATTTCAAGGTTATTTTCCTTAACCATAGAGATAAGAAATATAATTTCTTTTAAATGAAAACTCAAGATTTTTTTTAATCAATTTTTGCAGCAACATCTGAATTCTGTAGTCCCAGCAATCACTGAATACATAGATCTCTGTATGTAACTCATTCAACTGTTCACGGCTGCATTCTAATAGTAAAGAGTGCCTATGAACATTAATACATATCATTTTGTATTTGTTTACAGTAGCGTAATACGTATACCTGCATTAAACTGTAAAAGTAATAACTCCCAGTGACAGATTGAAAATTTCTCTTCCCCATTGTTTTGCTCTCCCTTTTGATTAGAAATTTAAAGCAAGTATGTAGCAGTCATGGAGAGTGAAGACATGGACAAGTTCCTCTCTTAATAAGCTGTGCTTTCCCTTTGGAGGCAAAGGAAGCAAATTGTGTCTGATTCTTAGGGATGTTAGGAAACAAGTAAATAGCTAATCGTATAGTCGATAGAATTTCTGTCGACTACACAATTAGTTGATAAGGGAGGAAGCCTCTGGGAGTTGGTCCTGGCTGCGACTCTGCTGTTTAAAAGTAGTAAGAGCTGGGTGGGCAGGCAGCCTGGCTCCTACTACATTTAAACTGCA